GGTGTCTATCAACATAGTAATATCTTCTACCCCCACCCAAAAAAGGGCCAGTAGTATACTTATTTTGCTTGATGCCATATTGAAAACACGAGTTTCTCAGAATCTTTGAGGACGAGGTGGAAAACCCAGATGCAGAATTGAATTTGTTGGGTCTTGGAATGGTTTCTTGAATGGAATTTTTGAGTGAAAACTTTGATGCGAAATTGCGAAACGCGTCAAGACCGAATTTTGATCTTCTGTACCATCCCATGACTGCTGCGAGGACCTCAAAATCAAAGAAGAAGGATTAGCAGTAAGAACAAAAATCATTCAGACGTCAATTTCTTGGAGCAGAAGTTAAATCTGAAATTAATCCTAAATATAAGGGCCAAAAGAGGTAAAGAGAGAGAAAATGGAATAGAAAAGGGGAATCAGAGTGATTAGGTGAACGGAGAGGGTCTGGACGTGTCTGGAAATTTGCAAAAGCGCAAAGCAATGAAGTGGGCAGCGGTGGAACCCCAGAAGTAATTCTTCATCTATCTTATTTTCTTCTGGAATGTTTTTTTCTACTACTTACAGTTTGTTTGTTGTTATAAAATAAAAACTATAATGTAAAGACAAGCATAGAGAAACTAATATGTTATTTTACTTCAAACTTATATATATATAATGAAATGAAATCTTCTCTATTTATACAAGAAAGGAAGCTGCTGTGTAAGTTGCTACTGCAAGCTGCTGTGTAAGCTGCTACTATACCAGATATAGATAATCTTCTACCGAGGGAAATATTTATCCATAACGGAGTACCGAAAGGATAAGCTCGTACCAGGTATGGATAATCTTCTACCGAAGGTAACGTTTATCCATAACGGAATACCGAAAGGATAAGCTCATTGTACCAGGTATGAATAATCTTCTACCGATAGTAATATTTATCTACAACGGAGTACTGAAAGTATAAGCTTATTGTAATAGGTATGGATAATCTTCTACTGGGGGTAATGTTTATCCATAGCGGAGTATCCAAAGGATAAGCTTCTTCAGGAGGCTTATTTCCAATAGACTACTAAATAGATAAATATGTTTACGGCGGAGTCTCATATGGATAAGCTTCTTCAGGAAGCTTATTTACAACGGAGTACCAAATAAACATCCATAATATAATATATTTATAACACTCCCCCTTGGATGTTTAAAAGATAATGTGCCTCATTAAAACCTTACTAGGAAAAACCATATGGGAAAAAATCCTAGTGAAGGAAAAAGAGTACACATATTTAGCAATACGCATTGCTAGGTGCCTCATTAAAAACCTTATAAGGAAAACCCTGTGGGAAAAAACCTTAGTAAGGAAAAAAGAGTGCATCACGTATTTTACTCCCCTGATGAAAACCTTGTTTCAAATATTTGAGTCTCCGCATTCCAATCTTGTATACCATCTTCTCAAAAGTTGAAGTTGGCAAAGATTTAGTGAATAAATCTGCTGGATTATCACTTGAACGGGTTTGTTGCACATCAATATCACCATTTTTCTGAAGTTCATGTGTGTAGAATAATTTTGGTGAAATGAGCTTCGTTCTATCTCCTTTTATAAATCCTCCCTTCAATTGGGCTATGCATGGAGCATTGTCTTCGTATAAAATTGTGGGTCTTTTCTCACATTCCAAGCCACATTTTTCTCGAATAAAATGAATTATTGATCTCAACCATACACGTTACCTACTTGCTTCATGAATAGCTATTATCTCGGCATGATTTGAAGAAGTAGCAACAATAGATTGCTTTGTGGAGCGCCATGAAATGACAGTACCTCTATATGTAAATACGTACCCGGTTTGAGATCGAGCTTTATGGGGATCAGATAAATAACCTGCATCTGCATAACCAACAAGATCTGCACTATCTTTGTTAGTATAAAACAAACCCATATCAAGAGTTCTCTTTAAATATCGCAATATATGCTTAATCCCGAGCCAATATCTCCGTGTAGGAGAAGAACTATATCTTGCTAGTAAATTAACAGAAAATACTATGTCAGGCCTTGTAGCATTAGCAAGATACATTAGTGCACCAATTGCACTGAGATAGGGTACTTCGGGACCAAGTAGTTCGTCATCCTCTTCTGGAGGTCGGAACAAATCCTTATTCACTTCAAGTGATCGAACAACCATTGGTGTACTCAATGGGTGCGCTTTGTCCATGTAAAAGCGTTTTAAAACCCTTTCTATATAAGTAGATTGATGGATAAAGATCCCGTCTGCTAAATGTTCAATTTGCAGACCAAGACAAATTTTTGTCTTTCCTAGATCTTTCATCTCAAATTCTTTCTTAAGATATTCAATTACCTTTTGGAGCTCTTCTGGAGTTCCAACAAGATTTATGGCATCAACATAAACTGCAATTATAACAAATTCTGATGCCATTTTCTTTATAAAAATACATGGACAAATAACATCATTTATGTAACCCTCTTTCAGCAAATATTCACTAAGGCAATTATACCACATGCGCCCAGATTGCTTTAAACCGTACAAAGATCTTTGTAATCTAATTGAATACATTTCCTGAGATTTTGAATTTGCTTCAGGCATTTTAAATCCTTCAGGATTTTCATAGAAATTTCATTATCAAGTGATCGGTACAGATAAGCTGTAACTACATCCATTAGATGTATTTCAAGCTTTTCATGTAGTGCTAAACTGATGAGATATCGAAATGTTATGGCATCCATAACAGGTGAATATGATTCATCAAAATCGACTCCAGGTCGTTGTGAAAATCCTTGTGCAACAAGGCGAGCTTTGTATCTTTCAACTTTATTTTTATCATTCCTTTTTCGCACAAAAATCCATTTATGACCAACTGGCTTTATACCAGCAGGTGTTTGGACTACTGGTCCAAAGACCTCTCTGTTAGCAAGTGACTTCAATTCCGATTGAACTGCCTCTTGCCATTTTGGCTAATCAGATCTTTGTCGACATTCTTCGATAAATCGGGGTTCAATATCCTCACTATATTGCATAATATTAAGTGTAACATTATATGCAAAAATATTATCCACCACTATTTCAGATCGATTTAAATTAATCCCATCACCGGTAGAACTTATTAAAAGTTCCTTACTTACTTGAGTTTCAGGTTCATTGATTTCTTCAGGAATCTCAGAACTAATCAGATCTTAGGTCTCTTGAGGAGATCCCTTCATAGTATCATTTTGATCATTTGTCGATTTTCTTTTTCGAGGATTTCGATCCTTAGAACCCAAAGGCCTACCCGGCTTCAGGCGTGCTTTAGGTTCACTAGCTCTCATGCTAGTAGATGGTCCTACTGGGACATCAATTGGGATAGGCACATTCTCTGCAGGGGTATGTGACTTAATTATCCTTTTCAAATCAGTAAATGCGTCAGGCATTTCATTTACTATATTCTGTAAATGGATGATCTTCTGGACCTCCTGATTACATATAGGGGTACGTGGATCAAAGTGAGATAATGATGAAACTTTCCACACAATTTTTCTTTTGATTTTCTTTTTCTCTCCCCCTAATTGTGGGAAAATTATTTCATCAAACCGACAATCTGCAAATCAAGATGTAAATAAATCTCCTGTCAATGGTTCAAGATAGCGAATAATAGAGGGTGATTCAAATCCAACATATATTCCTATCCTTCTCTTTGGCCCCATCTTACTGCGCTGTGGTGGTGCTACTGGCACATATACAGCACATCAAAAATTCGTAGATGGGCAATATTTGGTTCATGACCAAAAACTAATTGTGACGGAGAATATTTATTATAATGTGTCGGTCTTGGACGGATAAGTGATGCTGCATGCAAGATAGCATGGCCCCAACAGTAGTGGGCAATTTTGTTTTCATAAGTAGTGGTCTTGCTATCAATTGCAGGCGTTTAATAAATAACTCTGCAAGGCCATTTTGAGTATGAACATAAGCTACAGGATGTTCAACTTTTATCCCAACTGATAAACAATAATCATCAAAAGCTTGAGATGAGAATTCTTCAGCATTATCAAGGCGAATAGCCTTTATAGGATAATTTGAGAATCTTGACCTTAATCGAATTATTTGGGCTAATAGCTTTGCAAATGCCAGGTTGCGAGATGATAGTAGGCACACATGAGACCATCTTGAAGATGCATCAATTAGGACCATAAAATATCTAAATAACCCACTTGATGGGTGAATAGGTCCACATATATCCCCATGTATACGTTCTAAAAAGGCTGGGGATTCAATGTCAACCTTCATTGGTGATGGTCTAGTGATCATTTTGCCTTGATAACAAGCATCACAAGAAAATTCGTCATTTGTAAGAATCTTCAGTTTCTTTAATGGATGCCCACTCGAATTTTCAGTAATTCGTCTCATCATTATTGATCCAGGATGGCCCAAACGGCCATGCAAAGCACAAAAGTATTTGAATCCGTAAACTTCTAGTTTACGATAGAGTGTGCTTCAATTGTACTAATTTGAATAGTATAAGCCAGAAGATAAAGTTGGTAACTTTTCTATAATGCATTTCTTGCTAGAAATATTCTTTGTAACACAAAGATATTCCACGTTCATTTCATCTATCGTCTCAACATGATAGCCATTTCGGCGGATATCTATAAAACTCAACAAGTTTCTTCGGGACTTGGAGGAGAATAATGCATTGTCTATAATAAGTTTTGTTCCCTTAGACAGAAATATAATGGCTCTTCCGGAGCCTTCAATCAAACTTATATTACCAGGAATTGTTGAAATATTTTCTTTTTCCTTATGCAAATAAGAAAAGTATTTCTGATCCTTGAATATGGCATGAGTTGTTCCACTATCAATAATACAAATATCTTCATGATTTTGTCTTTGATCCAAACATAATTTGAGGATTATCCATATTCTTCAAAATGACATAAATAAAATATATTATAGTAAACATCATTATCAAAGCATAACTTTTATTTATGTACAACAACTACATAACCATACTATCTATTACAACAACAAAAATTAAAATATTTACATTTCTACAGATTCACCACCGATTACATGACTTGTTTCTCCTTCTGGGAGTGCAAAATAATCAGCTACATCCAAATGCATGAAGTCTAAATTATCTTCAGAAATAAAATTTGCTTCGGCATTTTTCTCTGTCTTCTTCAGGGAGGCTTGATAAAGCTCAACCAGGTGCTTTGGCGTACGGCAGGTATGTGACCAGTGCCATTTTCCTTCACATCTATAGCATGCATTTTCTGCATTTGGTGCTTGCACCGCTTCATGCTTTTGTTCCTTCCTTTTCCACTGTTGGTGGCGAGGAGGGTTCTTTGGTGCATTATTATTACCATGATTAGAGTTTCTTCCCCGACCACGGCCATAACCACGACTGGGGCCACGACCTCTTCCACGTCTAGCTTGGTGGAAGTTCATCTCATTCACTTCAAGGAATGGACAAGAAGCAGTAGGTCGGCTTTCATGGTTTTTCATTAATAGCCCATTATGTTGCTCGGCTATAAGAAGATGCGAGATAAGTTCAGAATACTTTTTAAATCCCATCTCTCGATATTGCTGCTGCAGGATCATATTCGAGGCGTGAAAAGTGGTGAAAGTTTTCTCCAACATATCATGATCAGTAATATTATCACCACATAATTTCAATTGGAAAATAATTCTGAACATAGCAGAATTATACTCACTTATAGATTTAAAATCTTGTAGCCTTAGATGAGTCCAATCATAACGTGCCTGTGGAAGAACGACCATCTTCAGGTGGTCATATCTATCTTTCAAATTATTCCACAATATGACTGGATCTTTAATAGTGAGATATTCCATTTTCAGGCCCTCATCAAGGTGATGGCGTAGGAATATCAATGCTTTGGCACGATCTTGGTTTGATGCCTAATTTTTATCCTTGATGGTGTCTGCCAGACTTATCGCATCAAGATGAATTTCAGCATCAAGCACCCAAGACATGTAGCTTTTGCCCGATATATCCAGGGCTACAAATTCAAGTTTAGAAAGATTTGACATTATATAGAAAAAGAAAGTTCGTACCTCAGATACTTTCAAAGTATTTGCTCGAGATGGCAGAGTCTCGTGCAGATAACGTATTATAAAATAAAGACTGTAAAGTAAAGACAAGTATAGAGAGAAATTGATATGTTATTTGACTTTAAACGTATGTACATAATGAACTGAAATCTCCTCTATTTATAGAAGAAAGGAAGCTGCTACTGTACCAGATATAGATAATCTTCTACCGAGGGTAATGTTTATCCATAACGGAGTACCAAAAGGATAAGCTCATTGTACCAGGTATGGATAATCTTCTACCGAGGGTAATGTTTATCCATAACGGAGTACTGAAAGGATAAGCTCATTGTACCAGGTATAGATAATCTCCTACCGGTAGTAATGTTATCTACAACGGAGTACTGAAAGGATAAGCTTATTGTACTAGGTATGGATAATCTTCCACTGGGGGTAATATTTATCCATAACGGAGTATCCAAAGGATAAGCTTCTTCAGGAGGCTTATTTCCAATAGATTACTAAATAGATAAATATGTTTACGACGGAGTCTCATATGGATAAGCTTCTTCGGGAAGCTTATTTACAACGGAGTACCAAATAAACATCCATAATATAATATATTTATAACATTTGTATGATTGTTACTCATTGTTTGTATTGTTATTCAAAAATATATTTGTTTTGATTGTTATACCCTTCAACTTTCGGATCAAGAAAAAAGAATAATGGATCAAGAAGAAGAATAAGTGACTTAATTAAAATAATTTGGGAGATTCTGGGTAACCTGATGGATTGAGGAATAATTTTTAAAAGTTGGCTAATGGTAGGGATAAACTTGATCGAATAGCATAATGGTAAAAGTAAATTTGGCTGGATAGTATAACGGATATTAAATATGGACACCCGAAAGTAAAAGGGTATATTTGACCCTTTTTCCTATTATCAAATCTGTCATTCTAGAACAATAAAAGACCCATTTTGTGAAACAAAGGATTTGATGTTGTGGACTTGTTTTTTTCTCAATTATGCCTTTACTTGTTACTCCATAATTATATTTTACCCTTTACTTTTTTATTTTAACTCCAAATCTACAACCTATTGACCTACTTTGTCTTCGTCCATATTCCAGAATGATGTCCTTTTCATCCAAATCTCTGTTCGTTTCTTTGTCTCTTTTCATTGTTTATTTCTTTTCTTTTCTTGCTAATGATAGTTAATCTTTTTCTTCAGATTTTTGCTCTTGTTTCCAGACAACATAATTGCTGATAAATTAGTAGAAAAAGGTTCTCTTAAATTATTTTTATGTGTAATTATTGATGAATTTAATATTTAATTGAGGGCATTTTAGTAATAAGATATTGTCAAACCAAACGACAAAATGTTATTTGCAAACGATCCAATCTACCCAAACGTTATATCCACAAATAATACAATACAATATGATATAGTATAATATAATTATAATATAGGCAGAATAGCCTGAGGGACACTTGTACTTATTTGGTTTTGACATCCCGTTCCTCCTACTTCACAAAGTTTCACCCAAATACTTATAAGTTGTTCAAAAGCACAGTTTTAAACCCTTTTGACCTCATGTGTTCTTCAAATGCCTGACATGGATGACACATTAATGCCCACGTCAGATTTTCTATAACCCATCTGTAGGCATAAATTTTTTTATTAAAATTAAATCCATAAAATAATTTGGACTATATTTTAAATTCAAGATATATTGGTCCAAATAAATATTATGGGCTAATATATTGAATTAATTATATAAGTCCAATATATATGGATTAATAAATAAGTCTTAATCCACTGGTTAGCCCATTTAATTGGGCTAAAGTGATGAGCCTACTTCATTAAGCCCAAGATGTCATCTTCCTAGAGGCCCAGTTTGGTGCCACGTGTCAAATGACGTGGCGCGCCAAGTCAAACAAAAGAGCCAATGAGATCATGCCACGTGTCAAGATGACAAGGCATGCCAAGTCAAATTAAAAGGTCAATGAAACTGCGCCACATGTGCAAGTGACATGTTCTGGCCAATCAAATGCGGCCTTGTCACACTTCAACTTGACTGATCGGAAAGAATTTGTTCTTATCATAACTCTCCCTCCCACAACTATAAATAGGGGTCTTCATAACCCAAAAAGATACCAGAAGTTATAACAAGAAGCAAGAGAGAGCTCTTGGATCAAACGCCGCAAATTTCTCTACAAGTTTCAATCTTTAAGCAATCAAGTTCAAGTTCAAGAAATCAAATTCAAGCTCAAGAACGAATAACAAATCAAGGTTCAAGGAGTACGAGTTCAAATCAAAGGTCGTGCTAGCTGAATTCAAGATTATCGTTTGTGGCAACAATATAGATTCAAGATCAAGCTCGAAGGCCCTTGAATTTATTTTCTATTAGAAAGAAGAATCAGATGATTCATAGAGATTGTACACTCATATTACTCGAAATCAAATACTACGATTGTTGCAACATTTTCGGTCTTGATTTTATTTTCTCGACGCAATTTATTGTCTACAAATTGTGGTACGCCTGGTGGGACAATCTCTACCTCTCATCTCAACTTTTCAATCACCAAAGTTCAAGAACATCGAAATGGCTTCAAAGAAAATCAACTCTAGATCAACTTCCACCAAGACTGCTAATTCCAGGTTCTACGCTGATGTGGAAAGCATCCTCGATGTTACCTTTGAAAGCTTTGGACCAGTTACAAGGAGCAAAGCAAGCTCTTTAGGACAGCAAGCACTACAAGTGACGTCCGCATCAACCCCTGTTTTCGGATCTTCATCCTCAAAAGAAGCAAGATCCTCCACGAACGTACCTATGTGAGCATGTAATTTTTACCCTACCAAAATACAAAATTAATGAATAAATTAGTCCTATTTATTTTTAGATTTTTTTAAGGATTTTTTTGGTGTTTATTTGGAATTATTTATATTTTTAGTCGCATTTTTCATTTTTAAAGTTAAGAAAACTAACAAAAAATATTTAAACATTCATCATCTTGCATTATTAGGTTTTTAATTTAATTCAATGCCTAATTATATGATTAATTGCTTCATTAAAAGAAAATCACAAAAAATTATTTGTTCTTGACATTTTTTTTAGTTTTAGTATTAAATTAAGTAATTTTTCCTTTTAAACTTAAGATTGACTAATTGTGTAAATAATACAAATAGATAATTAGTGTAATTTTACAAATTAAGATAATTTAGTACTTAATTTAGGGTTTATTTAAATTAATTAGTTTTTAAAATTAAAGAAAAGCGGTCTTGGCCAAATTGGGCCAATTTAAACTAGCCCAATCCTAAACTTAACCCAAAAAACCCAAGCCCAAACCCTTAAAAATCTGATCCACCCCATCTCCCTCCATTCAATCATGGCCTTTGATCTATAATAGATCCAGGTCCGAAGCTCCCTCCCCTTTTAATATAAAAATGTCCTAAAACCTTCACCCCCCTCATTTCCAAACTCCCCATTCTCTCACATCTCTCTCTCAACTCCCCAAACCCTAGCCTTCCCATATCTCTCTCTTCTCTCTCCATCACCTCTTGCCGCCGACACTCCCTCAACGGCGGCGCCGCCCGCCGGAATTCGCCACCGGCGGCGGACTACCTCCAAACACCACCAAAATAATATCAATCAACTCCTCTTCTCCTCCTCTACCTCCCCCCACCAACCAAATCCACAAAAAACCAACAACTCTAAACTTAAAATAGGGCCGAAACCCTAGTGCCGCCCTAAACCCGCCGCCGGAAATCGCCTAAGGCAGCGGTGGAGCTCCAAAACCCCTCAAACTCACATCATACACTCTCCTCACCTCCTTGAACCTCGTCCTACCAACCAAATCCCCAAAAACCCAACCAAAATCCCTAGTTCTTAGATCTAAAAGGGCCGAAACCCTAGATCCACCCCCTTTTCAATTTTTTCTAGTTCGTTTAAAGATCCTCGTGCCAATATCTCCCATCAAGGATCTCAAATCCCAGATGGATGTATTGGCATGAGGGCTTTTAGCGGCTAGAGATCTTTAATTTCTTTTCCCGTTATTTATTTATTTATTTATTTTTATTCTCTCTTTACTTTATCTTTATTATTTTGTTATTGTTATTATTGTTTATTTCCAGTATTGCAATTTATTTTATTTATTTATTTACTGTTGTGTATTTATTTTATTTACTGTCTTTATTATTTTAGTAATTATTATTGTTAGTTATATTATGTTCAAATTAATTAATTAACTAAAACAGACCTAACTAATAAATAAAATCAGGGCTTAAATGTATTCGGTTGATTTTTACATCATTATGTATTTTACTTGTTATTTCATTTGCATTAATTAATTAATTAAAACGGATGTAACTAAGATAAAATAAAAAAATAATGTTAAATTATTTTATTTTTCCTTATTTTCGCTTACTGTTTTTCTCTTTTCGTTTTTTTTTGTTGTTGTTGTTTATTTCGTTTTACTTATTGTTATTAATTTATTGGGTCTGGCTAAATAGACAGGCAC